CTGCTGTGGTTTCAGAGCTGCTTCACTCGACATCGTAGACACTGGCATTTGCTCAGTGAATAAATGGCCTTTCCCACAATGGTGCATGACCTTTCTGTATGAGCCTCCTCCAGGCTCCCCTTTTGTGGTTCATTCTTCACTGTGTCACAGCATTAGCAACCCCAAGTGCTCAGTTCTCAAACCGTCAGTGGCCTTCCGTATGGCACAAGAACCATAGACTGCTGGGTCAGCTTGTGAGAACCTAAACCTGATGTTATGCACCCTCCCACCTACCTTCCTGCCCAGGGGACACACTGCTCACTCTTGCCTACCTGGAGAGGGACTTGCAGTGAACCCTCCACCCAGGCGGTGGCCCTCGAACAGAGGCTCCTCCAAGTGGAGCTGCCCTCCTGGGACTCTTGAGATGCATGCTCACTCACTCTGTGTCAGAAGAGCCGTGTATTGTGCCGGCAGTGACATTTTATGGGGCTGCGTTGTTGTTGTTGTTGTTGTTGTTGTTATTAATCCTCACTTGAGGATTTTTTTCCATTGATTTTTTTTTTTTGAGTGGAAGGGAAGGAGGGCAGTGGGGAGAGAGAGACCAACATTGATGTGAGAGGCACATCAGTTGGGTGCCTCCTGTATGTGCCCCGCCTGGAGTCCGGAATCCAATCCATGATCCTTCAGTGCCGGGGCTGATGCTCTAACCAGTGAGTCACATCAGCCAGGCTTATTGAGTTTCTTTAAAGGTTGGTTTCCTCCCAGTCCTCTGCTCGATGCCGTGACAGACTGCCAGAGCTCTGGGTGGCACTTCCTGAGGATGCTGTTTTTTCTCTGCTCGTTGTGGTCTCCTGCCCCTGCATCCATCTACCCGTGGCCATGCCCTGTGCTGCCCCGTGTGCAGGAACAAGGTCTGTGCCGTGATGCTCGGCAGAATAAATCTTAGACTGAAACCCCCAGTTCTCTCCATGAGTTATTAGTACAGTCCTGGACGTGTAAAGGCCACATATCTTTAAGTTCTTTACCTGGGCTTTACTTCAAGGTGGGAGGCCTCAGAGGGGCAAAGCTGCTAACAAGGGTAAGGTGGGAGGACCCTGTACCTCTGGTAATTGGGATTTCTTTCCTTTTTACCCTCATTTTCATATCCATTGGAAGCAGACCTGTAAGAAAAATTAGAACAGTTTAGAAAGGGTTGAAACTGTTTATTCACTCATCCTAGCCAGTATATTCCAAAACACTCCTGGTTTCAAACATTCCATCCCTTTACCCACAAGTCCTACAAATCTCTCAAATGTCCTAGAAATTCCAACTTTTAACATACAAACTCCGTAACTCTCGTGTGTAGAATCAGCACCTATCTTGGTAACACCTGGTAACACCATGTGTCTCTGTTCTGGCTTTAGGACAGGAAGTCATGTGGTGGTTAATAAAGCCTGAAATTTGGGGAGAGGAGACTGGACTACTGAGGTTGATGGGCCTGTGCCCATGAGTGAGATCTCCCGTTTCCCAAGAAGTGCTGAGTTTGGTGTGGAAGTTGAGGCTTTACGTAGAAAAACAAGAGGCTCTTGAGTTTGAATTCAGGTTTAGTAGCAATCTGCTAAGTGGAATTAGATTCAGCAGGTGGCTGCTGCTGTTTCATAGAGAACAGACTTGGAGGGACCTCTGTCCTCACTGCCAGACAGGCAGGGGTTGGCAGGGGTTGTCTTTCCCTTGAGAGCAGCAGGTGATTTGCCCACCACTCATGCCAGAGCCTGTGTCCTTTGGTGGGTCTGGTCAGTTTGGACAGGAAGCTTTTCACTCTCCTAGGAGCCAGCCAGGCTCCGTCACAGTCATCTGGGGTGGATGGCACCGAAGTGACTGCACTCCTGAGGGGGAAATGGGGTCTACCACCAAGAGGTTCTCTCTGTTTTGTACTCAGTAGTAAGGCAAGCTCAGTTGGAGTCTTCCTGCTTCTGTTTATTCCTGTATTTATTTTGTGTTTTTGCTTTTACATTGCAGGTAAACTAAAAGATCTTGGGAACTTGGTTCTCCGACCTTTTGGACTCTCCACAGAAAATTTCCAGATCAAACAGGATTCCTCTACTGGCTCCTACTCTATCAATTTTGTTCAAAATCCAAATAATAACAGATAACAGTAGCTTTTAAAGCTGACTAATAAATTGTGTGCTGCTTGCTCTCAGCAAGGGGAAAGGCCCTGCCAATGTTTAAGTTCTAAAAGCATCTTATGTCAAGATAAGCTATCCAGTAGAGCCCAACGCTCCCCTTTCCCTCGTGTTTTACGGTCAGGTGAGGTGCACTTCCTGATGTAATGAGCCTCATTCGATTTCCATTTTAAGGTGGTGTCCATGCAGCTATTGTCCCTAGTTCTGGCTGTCCTTTGTTTTGTCCAGGAGGAAGCCTGTCAAGGCTGACCTCCCTGGGCCATACAAACATGGCAAGCCCAGACACCAGCTCTCCTGGACCAAGCCAACCTGCTGGTCCGAGACTGCCCAGACACGACTGATGGGGGCCCTGCCTGCTGTCCCCGCTCCCGATCACACCGCCCAGGCTGCCGGGGTGGGCTCCGGATTTCCCCTGTGGTAATAAACGCTTTCTGTGACGGTCTGAGCTGGGTTGTGAATTTTATCCCTGTAACAAAAGCTGAAGCAGAAGGCTTCTCTGGTTCTGGGGAACAGTGTTGGTTTCAGGCAATGTTACTGAGTGTTACTGGATTCCTCAAATCTGTCCAAAGTCTTAGTTGGCTCCTCGAAGATGATCTTGAAAAGCTGACCATTGTGCCGTGTGCTGGAATTCAGAGACCACCTCACAAGCTTTGGGCCTCTCTGGTTTGCACAGATACTTAGGAAATTATTTTTGTTTTGACTACGCATCTTAATGTCAACTTAAAACAGCTTCAGTCAGGAGTGGTGGTATGTGAATCCCAAAACAAAACCATATTCTTTTAGACTACGTTAACCCAGAGGTTTCAAAGGTAGGTGGGGTGTTTTTGTTGTTGTTTTTTGGCTTTTGTTTTCATTGGTTGATGCTGGTGAAAAGCTTTCTTTCAGTTCTGGTTTCAGTGTCGAAGGCAGTGATGTGTGTTTCATCTCAGAAATGAAGCACATGTAGTTCTGAAAGTGACGTGCAATCGTCCCACTCCCCAGGGGAAGGCTTGTGCTGGTTCTTTGATCCGTTCCTCAAAGCCCTAGCCTGGGTTGCTCTGTAGAGAGCAGAATGATGTGTAGTATTGACTGGTTTGCCTAGCTTGTCTCCCAGATTGAAGTGAAATTCTTCATAGAATTTACTAGGGGAGAGGGAGAAATAACATGATTAATTTGGGTTTGCTCTCTTTATGGTAAATCTGGCATCTAATTTTCGCAAAAAAGTGAGAAATCCCGCAAGCCGTACAGAAAGCGTGTGAAAGGTGGGGTGCCGCGTCGGCGGGGAGCTCCCTGCACGGCGGGGTCGGGCTGGAGCGGTCCTGGCGTCTTGATCTCGGACTCCTTCCCACTCACACATTAAAGAGCGTTTTGGCTCGTGTGGATCCTATCTGTTGATATTTACATTAGTAATGAAAACTGAGAGATTTCGCCCTGGCCGGTTTGGCTCAGCGGTTAGAGCGTCCACCTGCGGTCCAGAGAGACCCGGGTTCGGTTCCCGCTAAGGGCATGTGCCTCGGTTGCGGTTTGTCCCCGGCCCTGGATGGTCGTGCGGGTGGCAGCCACTCGATGTGTCCCTTTCGCATCGATGTTTCTCTCTCTCTCTTCCTCTCTCTCTCCCTCCCACTCTATCTGTACAAAAATGGAAAGTCCTCGGGTGAGGTTAAAAAAAACAAAAACAAAAAAACTGAGAAATTTCTAAATAGTGAATTCTTTAAAAGTAAGTACATTTCATGTTAATATAACATTTTTAGAAAAATATCTTCCAAAGTAAAAGCACATTTTGTTTTTTATTGATTTTAGAGACAGATGGTAGGGGAGAGAAAGAGAGACATCTATTTGTTATCTTTCCATTATTTATGCATTCATTGGTTGATTCTTGTATATTTCCTGACAGGGAATCGAACCCACAACCTTGGAGTATTGGGACGGTGCTCTAACCAACTGAGCTACCAGACCAGGGCCCAACAAAAATACACTTTAATAAGAGTGACATCATTTTACACATTTGTAAATCCCTTTAATGTGAAGCTTGCAGAAGATTCTCATTGGCATTTGTGCTGTTTGTCACTATCACATCATGAAGCCTGGGAGATTCTGCATACTCATGACAGAAGGACAGTAAAAAGGGGGGGGGGGGAATAATCCCTTAGTTATTGCTGTGAATACATTATGAAATGGACTATATTTTGCAAACTGGTCAGATTTGACTTGAGCTCAATGGCTAAGATTAAGCACAGGTCTGGACTGAGATTCCTGAATGACTAGCTGAGCTCCAAGGAAGAGAAAATAAGACTTGTTTGCCTAGAAACAACCCTTCTTAAGACACTACCATTCTTACAGGTATAGAAATGTTTCTTAGGCCTGGCTCCTCTGTTTCCTCTACTCCCCTCCCTTTACTCCCTCCTTTTCTTCCCCCTCCCCCACCACCACCCTCCTGAAATCTTCCTGGATGCCAAACAAGGCCCACATTAAATGCTTCTAGTGAGTGGGCCAAATAATGCATCTAGAAAGGAAAGAAATCAACTGCTTAAGCCAAAATGTTTTTATCTACCAGTGTTAATTCTCTGCTTCCAAAATATGGAAGAACAGGTAAAATTTGGAAAACATTTGACAGTAGGAAAACCTTGAAATGGTTGAAAAGTAGGTGTAGTGTCAAGGGAGGAAGGTGGCCTGTATTTGCCTACTGTTGCTAAGATGTATAATTTAAAGTTCTGTGATGCCTTCCTCCAACCAAAAAAATAATATGCCAAAATTTACTTTTAAGGTAACCACAGTGTATGTATTCTTATTCCAACAATAGAGCAATGGATCAAAATAATTTTGGATCTCCTTCTAGAATGTTTTTGAAGACTCAAAGATGTGTATTTTTTTTAATACTAGGATCTATTCCCTGTCTGCTTCCATGATGAGACCAAGAACTCCTAGAAGGTAAGGGCCCTATTTCTGTTCAGAACAGCACCAGCACCTGGGCTGTACTAGAAACGTAGGGAGTATGAAAGGGCATTCTTCAAGAAGTGGTCTCAGTGTGAACCATCAGTCTGTGTTCAGATTCTGTGCTCTTTATTTAGTGCCTGTTTTAAAAGGTCTCCTTTGCCACTAACCATTACCTGTTATCTCAAGATAATTAGCAACTAGTCATCTTCCTCAAAACTCTAAGATCCAGCAAGTGATTCAAATGTCACCTTAGAAGGTTTATGTGCTATTTTTCACTTTCCAAAGAATGTGGCAGGAGACAGCAAGACTCCCCTGGTCTGTGCAGTAGTGTTTTTGTGCAGATAGGTGTGCATTTCTGGCCACTGTGGAGGGCTCAGCTAGGACTTCTCAATAGTGAATTCAGTAATTGCAGCTTAAAGAGTTTGCAAAGAGCCCCTTAAAGCCAGGCAAGCCCACCCTGTGTAGAATGTCCTCAGACCTTGAGCATTCAGCCTGGCTTGTGAGCATGTCTTCTAGTTTTTAAACTTCCATTTTTGCATCTTGGGTATTTGCAAGGATTTGTCTTGAGACTCAAAAATTGACCGTCCTCTCCTTTCAGCTTCCCCACTTTCTCCCAGATCACATTCCATTGTCTCTGGTGTCCTCTGTATGTCCGCACTGTCTCATCTCAGCCACCTCTCCAGCTTTCCCAGGAAACTGAGACTGTTACTACCGATGCACACCCGGCTGGTAGTTCCCTCTGTACGGGTGCACTGTGGGTGATTTCATTGTCTTCACATCGTGGATCCAAGCTATGATTTAATCCTAGTCTTAAATCCCAACCTCTTTTTCTAAGAACTGACTTTCTGTACATGTTTCCCTTCTGTCACAAGCAACTGGCTTTTTTCTATCCTCTTGCTCTATGACACACACCCCTCCCCAATATCCTATGGCCTTACACGTTATTATGCTTATAGGAATAGAGAATATTACACCAGGCGGAGATGTGGAGGCTGGGGAGTGGCCGAACCTACTAATTAATGACCTGAACGTGGCAACCCTGGGCCCACATCCGAGCTTCAGTAAAATGACAAGACTCACACTTTGGACCTTCAGAGTTGCTCAGGTATTGTCGAAGTCACAAATGTTTGTTTAATCCATAAATGACAAGCATTTCTGACAGTACTTTGTGTAGCTGAAGGTAAGGAACCACCCTTGGAAATGTTGCTAGGCCTGGTGGTTATTTCTGGCGCTCCTTGGGTCTCTGGGCTGACCTCTAGACCATTGCTGAAATACACTTCAGTCTTCAAGCCAGAATCCAGATTCGGGAGGAGCAGACATAGGGACTTTTTGGATGCATTTTACTGTTAGAATAGATTCCTGGGATGGGGAGCAGGCAGTAGGTGTTAAATGTAACCCTGACTGAAGATGTATTGGTAGGAGTTGTGTGTCTGATCCCCAGAGCTAAGTACAATCAAGGAAAGTCTAGAACTGCAGCATCACACAGGTGCAGCCTGTGAGCCCACAGGCAAGGTAGTGATCACTTCCCTTTCACCTCCTACCTCATCCCTCCCTTCTCAAATTCTCCTTGGCACACAGCCCCACCTTAGAAAATTCTCCTTGGAGCAATTTCAGTGAGATAACATCCCTTTCAGCCTGTCCCTCTGCACAGCAATAGTCACAGGCATAGTCTTTTCATCACCTGGATACTTTAAACAAGGATATTCGTGCACATTCTACCAGAAGTGGCTGGAAAGTTCCTTCAGGGAAATGCACAATTAAAAGCTGTACAGAAGAGGGGGGTGATCATTTCTGGTCCCTGTGTTGTGTGTGAGCTGCCGAGCCCACACTAGACCGGGAATGAGAAATGGATTACTTGCTACCAGTCCGCCCAAGAGGTGTGGCTAAAATAACTGTATAGAATATCAGAACAACTGCTCACAACCCTTGGGGGGTTTTGGGGGGCAGGCAATCAAAGAAACTAGTCATAAAATCAGTTTGTGAAAACTGATGAGGCCACTCTCATATTTCAAAGCATCAGAAATTCTAATCTTCCTGGCTATGCATTGTAATTGTTGGAACTAGTGATGGGTACGTAGGGTTTGTTATACTGCTGTACCTCTAGAAAGGTTTGAGATATTCTACAACAAAAATACTTTCTTCTAATGTTGCAGCCTTCTGCCAGCTAGGAATAGGCTCCATCACACAAGTGTGAAGTTGTCAGCCAAAACAGGACTCCCTACCTCCTTTTTCCTTTCGCTTGGGGAACTGGGGCTCACATTTTCCCCTTAGCTGAAGCAGGGCTTGCTGCCCCACTGTCAAGAAAGCCCACAGCTAACACTCTGTGGCCGTGACTCAGTGGCCTGCCAAAAAATATGGCCTACCTAGATGGGAGCGCCTGTCAGCTACTGGGCTGCCTAGCTCAGGTATCATGGCAGATGTTAAGGGAACCTACCCAAAGGCTAATCAGGAAACTTAGTTCAGATGGGAGGTGCTAGATCTGAAGGTACAATTCCCTCTGTGGGGTTGGTTCCCTGCCAGACTGATGTGTATATCAAACACCCCATCTGGACTCAGCCAGGCAGCTGCCTCGGCACACATGTGCCCCTCAACTCCCCAAATGTTAGAAAGTCAGAAGTCTACAAATGTAAAAGTCTTCAAGCAAAGACAGAAGTCCTCATGGAGGCCAGGGAATGGAGTGATGTGGGAGAACTGTGTGCATTTGAAAGGATGTATGCTTTGGTGGGCTCTTCATGGTACTTGGTCTCAAGTACACAAGACTGTTTTATTTTTTTATTTTTATTTTTTTATCCTCACCTGAGGACATTTTTCCATTTTTGTACAGATAGAGTAGGAGGGGGAGAGAGGAAGAGAGAGAGAGAAACATCGACGTGAAAGGGACACATCGAGTGGCTGCCACCCGCACAACCAACCAGGGCCGGGGACAAACTGCAACCGAGGTACGTGCCCTTAGCGGGAACAGAACCCGGGTCTCTCCAGACCGCAGGCCGACGCTCTAACCGCTGAGCCAAACTGGCCAGGGCCACAAGACTGTTTTATAGGGACGGTTTGATAGCCTCAAAATAGAATATGCTATTTGCAGCTTTGCCTCATGAAGTCAACTGGAAGGAAAGGTCTGGTAACTTCCTAAGGCTGTGTAGCACTTGGATTGGATTCTGCCATTTGGCAGAGTTGGCATCAGAGGCTGGAGTTACAGCTTGTGCTACAAAAGCTTTTCCAGCCCATCATCTTATACAGATGTTAAAGCAGCTGTGTTGGAACATGTGAGGAATTGACCCCGTCACTGTCTTCTATAAGGGGTTCTGTGTCTTACTGAAGCCCAGGCTGTGCCACATCAGGCCCCCTCTACCTCTTCACGTTGCTAATGTAGTTCACCTTCTTTAGAGTACAGGTAGGTTTCTGCTTAGACTCAGGACCCACGGGAGTTAGGAGCTGAACTTGAGAAAGAATTCAGAAACAAAAGATTATAGGATTATTTCACTCAGGGAAAATTCCCTGGTCTCCATGCTTTGGGTTTTGGCTAAATCGGAAATGAAGAGCTTGTTGAGCCAGACACTTTCCCACACCTCATTTTGGCCACTGCATGGTTCCTCTGTCAGGAAGATTGCTGATAGAACTAATATTAGAACCCATGGGGATCTCTTCTAGGCATTTCAGATAATGAGCTTGGACTAGAGAAGCATCTTCCTCCTAATACTACCAACTCACTTTCCTTCCTTCATGTCGGAAGCTTCTCGTGTGCCCCACAAGGGAATGATGAAAGGGCTAACCCCAGAAGTATGCTTAACTCTTAAGAACAATGACCTAGCCACTGTTTGACCTGCTCCTCCATCTTCTGGGATAGTAGTGCTGAGTTGTATCTTCCTTCATCCCGGGTTCGTTACCTACCTTCTTAATATCTAAGCAAAGGAGTTGTTAGGCCATGAAATTTCATTGTGAATAAGCAGAGATTTGGCAAGACACTCATCGCTAGAGAAAAATATGCTTAAAAACACAGTATGCTCTATTCAGGGCACTGAGGGAGGCATCATTACTTGAAAGAGAGAAATGAGCTATCAGGTATAAAAGCAGTAAAATAGCTTCTAACTACATGCATATTTGCAGTGACATAACCCACATGACCAGGGAGGTGCTGGTACCATCCATGTGTGATTCCAAACTTACGTTCTTATCTGAAGACAGCACCAAAAAGATCCTAAGTGTATCCATGAGTTTCATCACTCATCCCCTTGTAGGAGGAACCGTGTCTATAAACATACTGGCATAGGTACACCATCAGGTGTGGTACCATGGAATAAGGGAGGGGGGATCTCATCTAGGCATTTCAGATAATGAGCTTGTTTACCTTCCCTGGTTCTCTCTAGCTCCCTTATCGTTAGTGGAAACCTGAGGAAGAAAAGATATTGCCAGATTCCAGTGGCCTCCTTTCTATACTCATTTAGATAAGCTGAAATGGGAGAATGTTTGCAATTAAAGACTCCATGTATATCTGGAAAAACTGGCAGCCTTCCAAAGGATCACTTTACACAAATGGAAAAAAAAAAGACTGACCTAAGTTTTTGGGTCAGTGCTGAAAAACCTCAACTATCTGGTAAGTTTTAAGAGGCTAATTTTTTCCTAACAACTGAGTGTTTCTGGTCAAGCCCTTGACCTCACTTTCACATTGATTGTGCTGGGCTTTTAAAGAAGCAACCAGTTATCCATAAGGGAAGGACTCCTTAAACAAACAAAAAACCCACCAGTAGATATTTGTTCAATCACACCCAACTCTGAAGGGTAAGTTATTTCCATCAGAAAACAAATGTTTGTGCACAGGGTCCTAATGGTTCACATGCTTCCAGCCTTAGACATAAAGAAGTCCCATCAAACGTCCCAGTGATTAAGAACCTACAGTTTGCCCTGGTCAATTTGGCTCAGCGGTTGGAGCATCGGCCTACGGTACAGAGAGACCCGGGTTCGGTTCCTGCTAAAGGCGTGTACCTCAGTTGCAGTTTGTCCCCGGCCCTGGATGGGTCGTGAGGATGGTGACCACTAGATGTATCCCTTTCACGTCGATGTTCCTCCCACTCTATCTGGACAAAAAAATGGACCGGTGTCCTCGGATGAGGATAAAAAAAAAAAGAAAGAACCTACAGTTCTCTTAAGGGAGCACTACTACTTAAAACAGCTCCCTAAAGGATAACTAGTGGTTGGGTTTTAATAGTTAATAACCTTTAAAACCTAACTCCTAAAAAGTAAACAGTTTTTAAATAAAATTTTAAAAATATCAAGACTTTATTAGATAAAAGTTACACAACATTCTTTTAACATTTATGTCTCAGCATACTTTAGATGAGAAACAATTTTGTCATTCAAGTCTACAAAATGAAATAGGCTTCTGAAGATTTGAAATACAGACAAAGGTAGCATGAAGCAAAGCTTAAATATTAAGCAACTAAAGCAATGACAGTGAAATAGCAACATGGTATATCTAGATTTTAAATACCACCAAGTTCCTTTTTTTTTTTTTCCATGAAAATCTGGTTTGTAACAAAAGACCTTTAGAGAATTTGTCATGAGAAAAAGATACTTAAAACCTCCTCTCTCTCCATTCTTTTACCTTTATATTATTCCTTGGTCATTTCCACCACTCTGCACAAATAATGCTAAAGGTTAATTAAAAGTCTTAATTATACAACCCCCCCATGGCTTGGGAGTTGTCTGGTTCTTGAAGGGACCCTGAAAGGTACTGCTGGTGTTAATACAGCTAAAGGACAGGATGGACAGAGTTGGGTGCCACTGAGACATGTTACCTTCAGACTCCCTGCTGGCATAGTTCCTGAGCTGACTTTTTCAGATTTCATCACATGTATAATGACTTCATGATACTTTAGAATGCAATCAAAACTTTTAATTACGTACAGTGTAATTAGAATTTGCATTAAACTCACAGAAGCAAGACTGCCTACCTTTTCTTCTGGATTTGTAAAACAAATCCTTAGTCAGGTATATTAAAAGTTCTAAAACGCTCACCCAGAACCTTTTACTAATCCTGAGTGGGGAGCAATTCCAAATTTATACAGTGAGATTATGGAAAGTTTGAACACTTAAGCCAAATGCTCAGTTATCTGTTATGTAGCTTCAAATGAATTCTTTTTGGCATTTTTTTTTTCCTTTTTTTGTAATATCTTTCTGGTTTAAAAAATAAATCAGTATTGCCACTAAAAAACTTCAGTTTTATTATTATTAAAAGTACGGCACCATTAAATATAAAATGCCTTAAAAACGTAGTATTAAGCCTGGCTGGTGTGATTAAGTGGTTGAGCATCGATCGACCCATGCACCAGAAGGTCACCAGTTCAATTCCCAGTCAGGGCACATGCCCAGGTTGTGGGCCAAATCCCCAGTGGGGGGCATGCAGGAGGCGGCCAGTCAATGTTCTCTCTCCCTATAAGAATCAATAAAAAGAAAAAAAGAAAAATTAAGGTTTATTTTTATAATATGTATTTTCCAAAGATAAGAAAAACATTACAGTATCCATTAAAAACAATTCATGTTCTATTCATGAAACGCTTGACACCATCTTTATGGGTCTGTTCCCCAGGGGCAAGTCCCACCTGGCACCTATAAGAATTTCTTGCGCTGAGATGAGAAGGAGGGGCTCCCTGTGGAGAGAGGGCCTCATCAGAATTCAGATTTGTCTCCTTTTCAGACCTAGAACTATAGGAATAAAAGGCTTTTCCAGCTCAGTGGATTTAAGAACTAGCTCTCAGAGCAGACCTTTTCACTCTGAGAGCAACACTAGCATACTACTCTGACTCAGAATTTAAAAGTTAAGAATGTTTTTATGAAAATGTGCACAAAATGTTAAATACTGGTGGCAAATAAATACATCTTAAAATGTTCTAACAAGCAAACATATTCAAGGTAATACAACCCTGCTTTATCAAAGAAAGAAAAGGTCCAAATTTTGGGGGTGGGCTGGGGTACCGTGCCATCCTTTTAGTGTGAGGTTAAATCTTTTCTATCATTTCTGCCAGCATCCTGCAGGGAGACATTGGCCTCAGCAAGTATGACTACTGCAGTTTCATAGGCGAGTCATTTTAGAAATACCTGTGCTCATATCTGAACTGAGTAATATAAACCTTGGAGAAAGCACAAAGTTTTAGTATGAAAGATAATTCAACATTTCTGCCATCATCCCATGCCTTTAAGCCTGTGCTGATAACTTCACAATCAAAAGAAGTTCCTGTCAGTGATTCTCTGTACACAAATTCAGATGAATTCTTTGTGTGCATATTTCACATCACTTTTCTCCTCATCTCATGCATAATTTATTGCAATAGTATATATTTTAGAAAATATTCCCCTAATACCTTTTCTTCGGTTTAATATAGCACAATTTGCAGGTGCCTCTTTAGAGACTGTTGGTTTTAACCGCTGCCTGAACATTTACTTCTTAATGCAGCTTTAAAAATCTGAGTCTCCAATTTTCATTCAATCCTGGTGCTCTGGTGTTCTCTGTGACATTGTGGTACAGGTCCATGAAACCAGCAGCCTGCTAATGTCTTTGTGCTGAAATATAGTAAAGAAAAGGAAGAAAATGCAGTTAAGCACAAGTAATTATATGAGAAAAGTGATGTCCTTGTGTAAATTAAGACCTATATAGATTGTGGGATCACACTGATTTTTTTCTTTTAAATCAGTTAAACTTGACCTTTTTTTTTTTTTTTTTTTTTGAGAAAACAACTTACTGCCACTCTAAACCAGCAGAAGCACTCATGTTATTTCTGAAGTATATCTGGACCAATTCCAACACAAAGAAAATGGTTGTCATCTTCAGGTAATCAGTCTGCACTTGATTATTTCTAAAGAAAGGGAATTTTAGCTTTGTTCTTTATACTGCCATTTCACAGGTTACAATACTAAGCTTTGTGAGTCAGCTTAGCTGCTGTGGACTGCTGTGAGGTTTCAGCAGCTTCCCTTTAGCACAGGCTACCTATAGGCTAAAGAAGCAAATTTAAATACAAAATCTGGCTATGTAAAAATTAGCTGCAGATCACACTGTCTACACATGTGCAAAGAGCAAAAAAGGACGGTGCCTCCCCAGAGTAGACACAGCACATCAGAAGGCATCAAAAGTACTGTTTTGACCTGGAAGACAACTTACACACACTGGGTAAACTGACCAGTCTCCCCTGTTACATCAGCAAACATCAGCAGAGGGACTCTGAGCAGAACATTTAGAAATGATAAGGCTTATACAAATCCCTGAAAAGGAGCATGACCAGAATGCCTAACATTCCAACTTCCCTTTAATATCAAGTTGTTAGAACCCCATCGAAATCCTCTACAGTCCCTGGAAACTCAAGTATCAGTAAGAGTTTGACTTTCAAAAGAGGTGATCCGTGGAGAGAAAAATTAGTTTTTTTGTCAAATTTATTTTTAAACCAATGACATAGTATTTTCAGTAGAATAACAGACAAATACAGAATGCAAAAAGAAAAAACCATCTCCCATCCTTCCCAATATTGAACTTCCAAACATTTCATAGTAGGCGTCTTTCCCATTCTTAACTAGAACTCTTTGTTATCTTCCAGCTGCTTTCCTGCTTCATTCACTTACTGGATCAAGGCCTATAAATAAAGTTCACAGGGTATTCTGTCACATTTCTTCTTGAGCAATGAAAAATTACTCTAGCCATAAAGACAGCACACATCAGAGTGGAATGTGAGTGTAGTCCTTGCTTCTGAAGAACCACAAAGACTAACACTTAAGATTTCACAAATTCAGCTAAGAAAAGTTTTTATTTTCTAAAACTAAGATATTATACTAATAAATTTAGAATCAGAACTTTGGTATAAATATCCACATTTATAAATTTAAGGAGAAAAAATAGTAACTAGCCAATCCCATGTACATCTCCATTTCCTTCTATTTATGATTGTCATTTTGGCTTCAACCTGAGTGAGGCCTATTCAAGGTGAAGGACTGAAGCAGATCTCACTATTCATGAGAGGTGTGGAAAACTAAAGACGCTATTCCCTCAAGATCACTGTAAGGGTAGCTGCCACCCCTCTACAAGTAAGAGTCCAAAATATCCCTGCCTCAACCTCTGATCCAAAATGCGCCATTCTGACCCATCTTACAAATTACAGCTCATGCCACGGTACAGACCACTTACAGCTCTTCACTAGCTGCAAACACCAGAGGGTTAAATAGCCTTAATTCAGGGAAACAAACAAATAAAAAGATCAAATTCAAAAGCAACACAAACAGAATCCCTAAACCATTTCCTCCTGTAGAAGAGCCCAAAAAAGAAACCTTTTAGGCAGTGTCCAAGGAGGTTTTCATAAATGTGCTTAAATAGATTACCACTACAATTCCACATTCTTGCTATCCTCTGAGCTTTATAAATAACATTGGTTCTGAGGTTAATTCACTAAGAATATATATGAACATATATATCCTTACATATATATTAAGAAGAAATGACTAAGAAGTTCAAGTAATGAATATAAAAGGGACAAAGAAAGTGAGATAGCGAACAGATAAAGAAATCTAGTATTTGACTATCCAGGGAGGCTCAGTGACTATTTGATATAATTCTACAATCTGACACCCAACTTCTACCACCATAGGAAATATTCCTCTCCATTCATCAAAGCTCGAAGGAGGCTGGCTGTACTTTTTTAGCACAGCAGGTAATATCAAATGAAAAGTTATTTTCACTCATTAAAACGGTCACCTACATGAGGAATTCACAGCTACCAATGAAAACTAGGGGAAAAAACCACTAATGAATTATTTTACATCTAGCCTAATCTGCTTTGGAAATGATCAAGTGATGACATGGTGCCCTCTTCACTTTGTGGCAGGGCTTAACACAGACAGACCTGCCCGTTTCACTGTTAACTTCAATGCTCCCAGTCTGAATCCACAGTGGTCTGTCAGACACTGTAAGGGAGCAGCAGGATTCGTCACTGTCTGATGTAATAGCTGCCATTTGTTGAGACCTATGGTAGAAAAAACCAAGTTAACAAAAGTAGAGAAGTCATTCGAGTTCTTTTAATCCATTTTACAAAAAAAATTTAAAAATAAGACCAAAATTCAGTTGAATTTTCATAATGAATTTATTCTACATAACTCTGGCTTCACAAAATGTGAAGCTTTGATTCTAAACTAAGGAAAAGAGCCTCGAGGTGTGTACACACCAGCTTTGGCCAGGAGAGGGCACTCTCCAGCCCAAATCAATTCAGCAGCAAAATGCCTTCAGGCACAACGAAGATGTGGCCTCCAGAGCTAACTGGCATTTAATGTTCCCGACCAAAAAGAAAAAAGTTTACTAACCTAGTATTAGAATAGTACTGATCTTAGTATTCAATAAGGGTTGAAGTCACCATCCCTATCGCATTACATTAATGCAACCCTGTTTTGCAGAGTGACCAAAAACATGAATCCCTTTCTCCTCTAATGCCAATGACCACCTGTGCATACTATTCAGGATCTGAGTTACCGCATAAGTTAATATCTGCTGGAAACAAGTTTGACTCAATAAGCTTTCTCACTTAGGCATTCAGAACAGACTTCAAATACTAAGCATAATTCAAAAGAAAGACTCAGGCTTTTTTTTTTTTTTTACTTTATTGATTTTAGAGAGAGGGAAAGACACACCAATGACAGAGAACATCGATTGGCTGCCTCCTGCATGCCCCCACTGGGGATCAGGCCCACAACGGCCCACAACCTGGGCATGTGCCCTGACCAGGAATTGAACTGGCGACATCTTGATGCATGGGTTGGCACTCAACTAGTGAGCTACACCAGCGGGGCCAGGACTTATTTTTTTAACATATTTGCTAGTCTGCTTAATTTCCTATTTTAAGTATAAATAAGTAGTTCATCTATCACATCACTGTAGTTAACTCAGCAGTCATTGAATTAGAGAATGTTTGGGCCTTGTAATAATTAAATACTAAGTTAGAAATAGTAACATAATGAAAACTTTTTAAAAGACTTTTCTGACATTGAAAAGGTCAAATTTTGTACACCTGATCTATAAACATAATTTCGAATTTTAACCGAGAACAATTTCCTTAAATGAGGCTTAACACTGAGGTTATTAACCCTTTTGTTCAAGGAAAATATATACACTGCTATAACCCAACAGCAATCACACCATGAAAAGGAATGTGAATGCACAAGAAAAATTTATCTTTTAAACCTCTCCATTCATAAGTAAAAACTGTTAGGCTTCAACAATCATTCTAGTTTTAATTCTAGGCAAAAGGAGTCAAGAAGCTGCAACTTCCCCTGTGCATTGCTCCCTTCCTGTCCCCCGTCCACAGAGCCTGGTTCATGAGTCTTGTGCTAATGTTGAAGAAGTTTCCCCTCCCTCAATGTCTTTGGGATCTCACGGTTTTTCCTTAGAAATTGACCACACCTACAGGATCCATTAGGAAAACCTAGGGAGCCTTGATGGTAACACAGTAAAAATGGAGGGACATCCTCATGAAAGCAATTTCATTGGAACTACTTGTTCTGTCCATTAAGACAAAGCATGTGGCAGCTATTCCTGGGAGGCAGCAGAGATATAAAAGGACAAGTCAGAGCAGGGTAAATAAACACTGTCTCCCTTTTAGAGTGCATGAAAGAAGGAAGTAGAGGAGGTCACGCTCTTAAGAGCAAAGCCCTGGATGAAGAACTAAAGAATCATTATACACATGTACCTATCATCTTGCTGAACACTCAACATAAATTTTTTCTTAATACAGTGTAGTATGCTGCAACATGAACACGCAGGAAAAAGGATCAACACAATAGACATACTGGCTTCTAGCTTCAGTACAATTTTTCTAACCAGTTATTTTCCCAGGGTTTTAGACAAACTGTGCATAGTACTTCCCAGCTTACCAGGAGTCCACACCTAGATGTGCTACTCCTAGCCAGATTCCCTGCTAAAAGCTAAATTGTGAAGAAAAGTCACAGGTTTGTAATCAACAGCATCTCAAAAATGAGCCTTGAGTAAAAACGACTACCCTCTGGAAAATGTGTCCACGACGCACACAGATCAAGGCCTTGGAATGTGAAGTATTTCCCTCCTAGAAAGGGGAAACAGTCTCCTACTCAGTCATACCAATAGCAATAAAAATAAAAAGGAAATGTTGAAATCAACGTCCACTTTTTCACCATTCGGCAAAATATGATTAAAATAATAAAACACCAGGACCCTAGGGGAACACAGCATCTGTGCAAACCAGCTAGTTTACCAAGAGCTGACAAGTAGCTCTGTGGTTCTAATACCTTTGGAAAGCTCTCCTGGAGGACCTCTACTGCACTAAGCCCCACCAGCTCACACTTATGCCTGAAATGATGTGGGTGGGATGTGCCGGGATTCTGAAATGGTGATTGGTCATTAGTACGTCAGTGTCTGAACAAGAATCACTCTTCCTCATTCACAATCGGACTGTCACTCTGCTTTGTCAGGCCCTGTGCTTGGCATAAGGGAGAATAGAAATCAGCGACTAATAGACTCCTGGGATTTATGCAATACATAAATGAATGGGGCAAGTGTTGAAATGTTAATGCACTTCTCCCTTCATCAGTTTCCATGACCTCCAACCCAGCTGCCCTCCACATGCCTGCTGGAAATAAGTCATACCTACTTACAGATATTTATGGAGGACCATGCTATTCTTATAATTTTCACATGTTGCTATAACTTTTCATTTATGCTGAGTATGTTGCAGAAGGATAATCTCAAAAGCTACCTGAACAAAATTTCTATGCCATGCACAAAGTGGTGGTTGTGGTAATGATAGCAGGTATTTATATAGGTCTTCTGCCAGGCAGCTTATTGCTATAATGAGGAATTACCTTATGAGGAAGTACTATTATTTTCCCTATTTCACAGACAATGACATTGAGTAACCTGCCTAAAATCACACAGCTTGTGACAGACCCAAGTCAGCCTTTGAATTCAGGAAATCTGGCTCAAAAGCCTGTACTTTCAACTGTGTGCCGGAAAAGTGGATGAGATTGACTTCGCTCAATAAAAGCCCGATAACAAGCACTACTGGTGCCACAATGTTAATGAACACTCACCTGCATCAGTTGAGTTATATGCTCATAATCATCCATGTCTATCTTTAATACTCAACAGGAGGACCCTCACATTGCTACAATATATTCTCCCCAAGCAAGCAACAAATTATTTTATATTTTATGAGGAAAGGGGGTTGGAATGGGGGGAATTGTTCCTTCTGGGCTTTTTCAACAGCGTTTAGGTGAATCTTTGTGTTGGAGAGAACTGAGTGACACAGAACAGTACCAAATTATCTTACATATATCTTAAAAGCCCTTTCTAGAACTTGATATGCATTATAATTACAAGTTTTTTAGTTTGTGAGGAAAGGAAAAATGTGATAACAGCCTAATACTTTAGCTATGGAATATCTGGTTTTCCTTCTAAATACTGACTATTGGAGAGAAAAAAAATTTAAGAAGTTTTAAATCATGATTTCTGGTTAACACTCAGATTTCTAAGGTAATAAAAAGAGGTCAATTATCACATTCTTATGATACAAGGAAACAAAAAAATAATTCATGTTAAAATCAAGTTTTTAAGACCAGGTATTTTTAAACTGGCTTGTTTTCAACATCAGAGTTTTAAGAAATTGTTTTACAAACAAGTATCCAACAGAGGAAGGCCTGTAAGTTAGACAACGTCTAACATCTCATTCATTCAGGTGAAAATGAGAACTTGACTCACGAATTCAGTATTGATAAATCCTGATAATTTTGAGTCTACAGTTTCTTCTTTTCCTTCACACCTCCCCGCAACCAATCTTTAATTAGTGCCAAAATATAAGAATCTATAAGAAAAAATTCAAGTTTGGCCATTAGTTTTTTTTTTTCACAGATTAAATGCATTAAAATTTTATTCAATTCATCCCAAGATGGATTTAAAGATACAGTATAAAAATTCGTATTTCCTACCAAATGTGGTAGCTGGAATGATCTTAGAATTGCATTTTCATAGTTCTCTACATATGTCAAGGCATATTTGTTTTCCATAAGCTGTAGTGACATAAAAAATGTAAAGTACACAAATTTGAAAATATGGGAAAAGTGTGATGGATGAATGTAAATAATTCAAGTTTGGAAACTAATTAATTTTATAACAAATAATTTAAACAGTTTCCATATTCATAATTTTATCCAAAACAATTGTTTTTGTTACTGAGAGGGGATGGTTTTAACCTAAAACCTACTCTTAAGAGTATGTAATGGGGTAAATGCAGTCACACTAATTCACCTAAAAATTTTACCAAGAGGTAGTTCCAGTCTTTAAAAGTAGGAGCACAGCCCTGGCCGGTTTGGCTCAGCGGTTAGAGCGTCGGCCTGCGGTCCAGAGAGACCCGGGTTCGGTTCCCGCTAAGAGCGCGTACCTCGGTTGCAGTTTGTCCCCGGCCCTGGTTGGTTGTGCGGGTGGCAGCCACTCGATGTGTTCCTTTCACGTTGATGTTTCTCTCTCTCTCTCTGTTCCTCTCTCTCCCTCCCACTCTACCTGAACAAAAGTGAGGATAAAAAAAAAAATAAAAGTAGGAGCACAGTTAGCCCTGTGCAAGATTACAGGTTGATTAGGAAGGAATCTTAGAAACCATGTCCCAGTCAGTGTTTAACCAAGAAAACACTCCTGTGACTTAATTTCCAAACACCTTCTAGAATAACATCCCAAATTTAAAAGGTTTCTAGCAAAAAAACAAATTACAGATGGATAGTAGTGATGGTTAGGCATATTTAACAACAACAAAACAAAAAACACAATTACAGTGCTCTGTTAATATGACTAACAGAAAATTTCTACCTAAAATCGTAAGGAAAATAAAGGTAAAAAAAAATCGTCTAGCCCTGGCCAGTTTGGCTCAGCGGTTGGAGCATCGGCCTGCGGACCAGAGAGTCCTGGGTTCGGTTCCCGCTAGGGGCACATACCAAAAAAAAAAATCGTCCCTTGAGGAAACATTGGGGGGGGAAAAAAAGAGTTGAATTGTTTCCCTTCTGATCTTTGTCAGCTATCCATGATGAAGACACCAACACATCCTGGAAAATTAAAAATATCAAGCATCTATATCACTGACTTTAAACTTCCTCTTCTTTTATTCCAATAGCATAGCCCAGCCGGTGTGGCTCAGTAGTTGAACGTTGACCCATGCACCAAGAGGTCACTGGTTCAATTTCTGGTCAGGGCACATGCCCAGGTTGTGGGCCCAATCCCCAGTGGGGGGCATGCAGGATGTGGCCAACTGATGTTCTCCCTCATCAATGTTTCTTTCTCTCTCTCCCTTCCTCTCTAAAATCAATAAAGAAAAAAAAATTTTTGAGAAAAAATAGCATAACATAGTAATTGCTACAGCTTTCATTTTTTAATTCTATTCATTTTGTTGAAATATAGTACGTACATACAAACTATACATACAGAATATGAAGAGCCTATTAACTAAGAACTAGGCAAAATTAATACGGCTTAGCTGTTTTATTTTCTCCTACTAATAGGTATTGCACTAGCCTCTTGTTCTTTTTCTGAATTCCCTACTTCAGGCATTTCAACAGCACCAATATTAATTATAATATCCCAAAGCAAACCCTAAATTTGCCCCACTTCGGAAAAGGGTCTTAACTGCCCATGCAAATTCCCTATTGGAGGCCATTACCTGGCCCAAGTCAAAACATTACCAACTATTCTAGAAATTTGCCAGTCTCTTCAAGTACTTAACAAAAGTGAACCAATGCAGCACAACCATAGAAAAACTCACAACTTAAAAGAAAGCTAATTTTAGATTCAAATTATGTATTTCTTAAGGTATTTCCAAATCCCAACTCAGCTATTCTATATAAAGGATGTATGTCAAGGAATATAATGTGTAGTTTTCCTTCCACAAAACCAATATTAAGTACATCCTGCTCAGAGATAGCAACTCAGTATTTTATAAATTAGAAACTCACCCACTAATGTAGATTTTAGTAGCAGTTCCATCTCCTTTGCCTGCAGTCCCTCATATCTATATTCCTGTCTAATCTATTTAGTACTAAAGTTACTATATATAGATCAAAACCCCATCAGGACACACTGTTGAGCTGTGCAAATGGACTTTAGACTACTGAATTCCACTTTACTTCATCTGTTAGGTCTCTGGTTCCACTTCTAAAAATGAGTTAACCAGATATTCTTTCCAAATGAAGTCAGCTTTCTGGCCTATAAATCCTAGAAAACTAAAAGGGAAAAATACACTAAATTTCTGAGAATTTCTAGAAATAAATTCATCTTTGGCTTTTACAGCTCTCATTTCACTTGGTTTTCCCCCTTGCTCAAAATCCTTTGTTTTAGCCACTTTTCTTGGACCACTGGCGACCTGGCCCAAGCCTAGTTTTCTCTGCAAGGGGAAAAATTACCCATGTGGTTATCTCCATACAAGTAAATGCCTCATTTTATCATTTTTAAAAGAAATAAATGTAAAGAAAGGCATACAGTTACCCAATTCTACTCTATCTCCAAACTTATCTAACTGCTTAAGAAATGTCTATCTGAATAAAACATTAACATGCAACTATTGGATTAGTGTTCCTAAGTTCTTTAAAACTTGTTTCCCTATTCAAACTTCAGGTAAAATATGCTTGACTGCTCGTTGATAATGGAGGGGTCACTTGGCATGATTGGAGATTATGCACATTTGTGATTATGCTTCAAACCTTTTCCTCAGAGGTATGGACTACATAAAATTGAGTGTTCTTTTTGTACTCAACAATCATGATTTTCTTCTTTTTCCCTATGGCCTCTGAAATCAATCAAATTTGATTTATGCCACAAAAGTACATTTGCCAAAGCACTTGACCATATTAGCACTATCACTGTCAAAACCATGTTAAGATGAAACTCACCTGGATCGTTACAGGAAGCCTCAGAATTACATCTTAGGTGACATTTTGCTCCCTTGTTTAAATCTGAACCTTAGTCAAACTTTCTAAAATATCTTAACAAGCTCATTAATCTGAAACAAATACTCAGAAAAAAAATTTAAGATACTTCCTTAAAGCCCCTCAATCATGATGCAAACTTCTTTCAACCTGTTATAAAATAATTTTAATAGTTGTTTCTGTTTGCAGGAAAGAATATGTTCTATTCAAGTGAAACATCTTGTTTTTTCAATTGTGTGTTTATTATAATCAAAAAGCATTGACTGAGTTCCCCAGAAGAAATTCTACTTTCTTTTGCAGAAATCAGTACATAAATCATAGAAGTCCATAATCTTAAGGAAGCTGACAGACTATTGATTGTAAACCCATTAATCTCTTCATTATTAATTCCATAAACTGAGGCATTTAAAATTGGATTACTTAAATGTCAAATTGCCATAGTATCAAATTTAAAAGTTAAACACAAAAGTATGAAAGCAACTTAATCTTGGGATAAACATGCCTTCATAGGCAATCTGATATTTTTCGCTAACAATATAAAGCTAAAAATGGAAAATAAGAAATTAGTCTTAGGGACACATGGACCATGTAGAAAAACAATGAGCTAAGTTACCAGCCCCAAAAGCAATGATACCTGAGGCAGAGGACCAAGGAGAAGAGACTGGTTATAATTACCCAAATATTAAAAAATGAAGCATGTGATGAGATAGTAAGGCTAGAAATGAAAAAATTAAAACCCATACATTTATAAGAAACTGGCAGAAGGGTCTCAAATCTAGAAGCATATTAGACCTCTATACTACAAATCCTCATTTTAAGAATATTTATGCTCAGATATATTCTCTGATAAGGTAAATAAGGAAGTAAGTTTGATTTTTCACCTCCTCTATACAGTTACAAAGAATAATTTTCTACCATCTTGAAATTTTCAAAGCTTTTTGAGAAACACACACAAATAATTTGGATTTAGTCGATTTTATTTACAGCTTGTTTTTTTACATTTCAGAGCATTACACAATTACATTTTCTCATTTTCTGACCTGCAAACAGATACCTAAAACGGAAATATTTTTTTAAATTATCAAATTAGGTACATCCAAAATGCAACAATTACACATACGACAATTTCACAAAGTGTAATTCATCAGGAAGTATCCTAAAAATTTAGGAACAACCAGTCAGGAGAAATCTGACCAAATTTAGCAACCAACTATTTACATATCCAAAGACAAACAAACCTATCTGAACTCCCAAACCAGAAGTTTGAAAGTTTTTGTTAAATCCCCAATGAACAAAGGAGAGAGTGATGATTCAAACCTAGCCAGCTTTGACAGTCTTAATCCCAAAAACTGGGCTATTTCCCCAGTCTGCAACTGAATAGCAAGCATCTCAGTTTGTCAAACACTTAAGTATCAAGCTCTTGCATCTTTATGCACACAGAAAGGTTGTGTGTTTAATTAAAAAAACAAGTAGTCATTAAATATCCACACTATTCCCCCTTGCTCACCAGCCCTTACTGCAATCCCAAATATGCAACCTGTGTCACATAGTGACAGGCTATATTATATTTATATACAGTATGTATGTATATACACACACACGTACGTGTATATATACACACACATACACACAGTACTAGGTACAAATGGCAATTAATAGTCCCTGCAAAAATTCATTTTCAGTTGAGGCTATGGCTCCTATGCCTTGGGATGGTTTGACTTCAAAACTTAAAAATACTGCTAAAATCTCACTTCCTTAAGACAAAATTTGATTGCTTGTTCAGTTAAGCTTCTGTCTAAAAATGGCTATAAGGTAAGTTTTTACTTTAAAAAAAGCAGCAGCCAAGTGCAATTTCTCTCTCCAATTTGACCAGGCTAAATATTTCGTAGAAGTTAACTCCTTCCTAGCTACACTAGAAAATCTGTGGTGCCTTACATGGTTCTTGCCTACCTTACTGTCCACGTTCACGTTTCAAACTGTGTCAACAGAGCCCGTACTTCAGGGGTCAGCTGCTTGGCAGCCTTAGCTGCCTCTGTGATAGCCTTGCGATACAGGCCCTTTCTCTTCTTATTAAAGCGTGACTGGAAGTTTTCTAAAAAGGGGGACAGTTGTGAAAGAGCAAGGAAAGATGTTGTTGGAGACCCGAACCATGAAATACGGGCCTCCTGTCGAACTAAGAGGCCATTATCTTTCCGGCTCACAGTTATAGTAAGAATACGGGCTGGCCACCAAGGGAAGCCATATATCTTGGCCCAAACAATGTCCCCTACACATATGGTCCTGCCATCTGGTGTGATGCATTTAGAGACGTTTTTGGAAAAAACTTTCATTTTCAAGGAATTACTGAGCTTTTTCTCTTCCTTTGAAGAGGAGGATGTGGAGGTGGTGGAAGGTGCATGCATACTGCCTGGAGGAAAATCAAAGCTTTCAGAACTACACTCAGAGTTGGAGGATTTCAAATCATCTGTGCTATCAATGCTACACACTGAAGCACTGGAAGAGTCAGATTTCTTTTGATTTAGGGTCATGTAAACAGAGATATTGCTTTTGCTGCCCTTTTTGCCCAGTGTCTGTGGTTCATCCTGCTCACCAGGCACAAGCACTTCCTTTGTGTCCTGAACCTCACTGTGGGCCTCTTCAGGGCCTTTTGAGGGACTCTGATTTTCTGAAGGGGCCTCACCTGCTGAGCGGGTAGAGGTGCAACGAGACTGGGGCTTGGATGCCAGCTTGCCACTCCGCATTTTCTCAAGTCCTGTCTTCAGTGAAGAGTCATTTTCTTCATTCCTGTACCTTTGTGGTTTTAAACGAACCCGGGGTGGAAGGGAACCTGAGCTAGGATTCTGATAGCGACGTGTGAAATGGACTTTTGAATGTACATTTTTGGACGCAGAGGTTTCACTTTGCTTCTTTTGTGCCTTTTCTTTGGCAATTTTCAACACTTCCCGAGCTTTTGCATGATCCATGTTCTTACTCTGGAGCACTTTCTTAGTACTTAACTGAGCTTTTGATGTATTCGCCTGAGCAGAAACTTTGACTACTCTGCCTCTGCTGTGAGCAATATTTGAAACCTTAACCACAGCATTTCGTTTCTGGCTTTCATTTTGGTTTTTCCCATCCACTTTATGGTCAGTTTTCAGTTTTTTGTTCACAGTAGTTATACTTTCATTTCTCCGTTTTTTATCTTCATATTTAGAAGAGTCACTTGCACTACTACCTTTTCTAATTTCCTTTTTTTCAGCAACAACACTGTTTTTACATTTGTCACACAGGACTTGCCTGGGTCGTAGTTTAATAGCATTCATTATTGAAGTAGGTTCTTCCCTGTACATTTTTCGTTTGGGTCGCTTAATTTTCCGAGGAGGAGGCTGAGGTATTGACTGGTTATATGTGTCCCTGATAAACAAAGGGGGAGGATAAGGTGCTCCTTCGTGGAAGAGTGGTGGTGGTTTGGAAGTCCACAGGCTTTCGGCCAAGCTTGGCTCGGGTGGCGGGACAAGAGAAGGGTCATCGGCAACAGCACCATTCACTTCACACTTGACTTCTGTCCCTTCTTGGAATGTATTACTTTGGAGCTGCATGGCTTCAGGCTTATCCTTATATTCCCTTTTGGGAAATACTGTCACAGGGATCCCATGGGGCCCAAACCTTTAAAAGAAATGAAAGAAAAAGGAAGCCATTATTGTTAATGGCTATAATACAATTTCTTAAACCATACCTAATATTTATTTGCATGACCTTTCCTGAAAATTATTTCATATCAAAGAACAAAAACAAAAACCCACTGACCACCTCCCCCGCAAAATCCCAAAGCCCTCCATATTTTATAGGTCCCACATTTTAGGTTAAAACAGAAATACTCAAATGGTCACTTTTATGCAATGCCAGGATAGCTGAACTTACTTAGAATAGACCTTTCTGGTCTTGAATCAGAAAGGACACCAGATACCTTAATATTAAACATCTGATTTACATTTGCTAAACTATACATAACACTACCAAGCAAATACAGTTATAAATTTGTGATATATATATTCCTCTGATTAGAATAGCTTTCAAAAGCTTCACAAAAAAAAATTCAGCCTTAGCGACCCAAAAAGTATTGAATCAGTAAAATCCCAGCTCTCCTAATCACTAAAGTTTCAAAAATAGTTGCCCCTTTACTCTTGCATACCAATGTGTAAGCCTTTCAGCACACCACTTCCCCACAAAAATGCTAGAATTTCAGATAGTCAAAATACCTCAAAAGCAGACAGATACAGTTGTGGGTTTCTAACTTTTTAAAATCACATCACACATGAAGAAATACAGGGTGGCGCAAAGGTTTATTCTTGTATTATTATTGTATTTTCCATACAAACAACTATAAACCCACTTTTGCTCCACCCTCTATTTTCATATAACAATCCAGTAAAAACACTTTATATACACTTGCTTACATCTATACATACATAAATACACACCCTTAAGCAAAAGTTTCACTTACTACTTAACCTTAGGTAGTACACAATGATAATTTTTTTCTACTCTAGTCTATTTGTTTTAAGGCTAGTCAGACACATCAAATAGATTTCAAAACTCCTTACGGGTCCAGACCCAGTTTGCAAAGCAATGGCAATGAACACAAATCTTTATACTATTCTTGGTTTCTAATCAAACAGGGTCAATAACTTTGTTTCTTATGTAGAATTAGAAATAACTGTGTCTTGTCCAGCAGGTGTGGCTCAGTGGTTGAGTGTTGACCCATGCAGCAAGAGGTCATCATCGGTCGATTCCCAGTCAGGGCACATTCCAGGGTTGTGGGCCCAATCCCCAGTGGGAGGCATGCAGGAGGTGGCCAATCGATGTTCGCTTTCATTGATGTTTCTCTCTCTCTCTCTCTCTTCCTCTCTCTCTAAAATCAATAAAGGAAAAAAAATTTTTAAAAAAAGAAATAACTGTGGCATAATCTGCCTGGGCTAAACATCGAGAACCCTTAAACTAAACATGCTATACTCAGATTCCTGCACATCAAAATAAGTCACACTACCAAATAATTTCATCATATACATGTTACCATGTTCATTTTAAACACTATTTGAGTCAAACAGCATTAAACACAATACAATGATAATGCCAATCCTTTAAGGCAGAGGTGCTTAGAACCCAAGAAATTACCTTCAGGTAGTCAGACAGAACCAGGTATTAGATGCAAATGTTTTGTATATGTCTGTGTTTCTGGAGAATGAGTCGTTGGTTCTCAGATTCTCTATAAAATGTCCTTATGCCCCCAACCCCACAAATTGTTCAGAATACCTTTGTTGAGAGAAATCCTTGACATTAGGTACCTTAGGGCTAGGCTGTAGACACATCTAAGATGGGGCAAGGATACAGGAAGAGCCAACACCACCAGGATATGCGATCTAACAAGTAAATAGTTTTCTTCCTAAAGTCTTATTAGCTTGGCTACCTCCCACAAACCAACAACTTAACAGCAAGTACTTAGAAACCACAAAAGAGGAGGAAAGCCTTTTTTACCTAAGGAGGGGCAAGTTTGGGTCTGGGCTAGTCCACAAAGGAAGCACCCTTTCTCACTATTATCAAACTTTGCAAATAATGGCTTTTTATTCTATCATAGCAATCGGTACCTAAGTGTTTGCTTCCTGACTACTTAACTGCAAGGCCTTTTCCTATACAGTCGTCCCTCGCCACTTCGCGCTGGGACTTCCATGGCTTCACTCTATCGCGGTGTTTTCAAAAATATTCATTAAAAAGTTGATGGAGACAGTGAAAATGATACAGCATGTGCTCGGTTGTCTGAGTCAATTATATACCCCTGTATTACAATTAAAATTAAAATTACTGCACGTATGGACTGTAGGCCTATGTATTCGAGCACCCCAGGAATCCTTCAGCGCCAGGTGCAACTGCTAGAGGCTGGAACGGATTAACCGCAATAAATGAGGGACGGCTGTATATAGGTGTGCTCAGTAACCACTTTTTAAAGATGACTAGACAGAGGAGAGGTGATTTTTGTGTTTAAATGTAGAGCTATGTAAAACAATACAACTTATCTGAGGTATGACCACTCTTAGTATTAACAATAAAAGTTTCTAACTCATAAGAAGCCATCATTTTACCCTGGCCAGGTAGCTCTGTTGGTTAGAGCACTGTCCCACTTTGCCAAGGTTGTGGGTTCGATCCCTGGGCAGGGCATATACAAGAATTGATCAATGAATGCATAAATAAGTGGAACAAAAAGATGTCTGCATCCGTCTCCTCTCTCTCCTCCCCTTCCTCTCTAAAAAGCAATAAAAAAAAAAATTTAAAGCCATCATTTTGTCCCCATTACAGTTTCACACGTTTCCATAGCTGAACAAATTTCCTTCCCTTTTTTAGGAATAACTAAACCATAATCATGTTGACAGTTGACGAAGTTTCACAGCTGTCTCTTATCAACCTTGTGTTCTCAGGCATTACTAAACCTCTCCAAATTCAGTTTTCTCATGTGTGAAATGGATTAACACTGTTTCCTACCTTAAGGATTCAGATCAATAAATGTTAGCCTTTTTTTTTTTTTTTTGCTAAAACTTACTTCATTTAAGTAATTTGACCTTATTTTCAACTAAAAATTAACTAGAGTTTAGGATCTTTTCTATATCTTTAATTTATAATCTCAATGTGAGGATGATTCAGCCAATTAGCAAAGTTGTTTATATCAAATAAGCTGTGGAATCTGGTGTGTTTACCCTAATGGAGTTTAATAAGAACATTAATTTCTCATCTAGGATGGTTTTTCCCTTGCCTTTCCCTCTGAAGCAGATAAAATACAAACATTAAATGTTTTCAACAACGTAGGGATCACTTAATTGTGTAATGAAATTGCCAGCACCAAAAGAAAAAGGAAAAAATAAGTACAAACTGGTGGATGATTGGAAAAAGCAGAAAAATGGTTTTAAATAATAGTAAGATTTCCTCAAAGGAGCAGGAAAAGGGTATCAACGCCCATCTCAGTAACATGCTATCGCCCCACATGGAGAATGCTTTATGCCATGGCAGTGTTTCAAATTGAGGGTGGAGATGTTGGCTGTAAAATCAAATCTGAGGATTGCCAACAGTGATTAAAATAAATTTAAAAATCAGTGTAGCCCTGGCCGGTCTGACTCAGCGGTTAGAGCATCAGCCTGAGGTCCAGAGAGACCCGGGTTTGGTTCCCGCTAAGGGCGCGTACCTCGGTTGCAGTTTGTCCCCGGCCCTGGTTGGGTCGTGAGGGTGGCAACCACTCGATGTGTCCCATTCACGTCGATGTTTCTCTCTCTTCCTCCCACTCTAACTGAACAAAATATCCAAAAAAATGTCCTCGAGTGAGGATTGAAAAAAAAAAAAAAAATCAGTGTAAATATATGTAACAATAATGAAACTGTTTCATATATGGATTCCTATGCATGTAAAATGTATTTGTAACTATACTCAAAAGTTTGAAAGCTACTAACCTATAAAACTAACCTTGAGCCCTGGCTGGGTGGTCAATTGGTTAGAGCATCACCTTGATACACCAAGATCTGGGGTTCGATCCTGGGTCAAGGCATATATAAGAATCAAGCAATGAATTCTGTGAGTGAGACAAGTCAATGTTTCTCTCTCTCTCTCTCAAATCAATAAATAAAATTTTAAAAGAAACAAACTGTATCCTTTTTAAGAATATAAAGTAGCCACAAAACGATAGTGTCATAAAATCTTCAAATCTAATTCCTCAAGTGTAGTCTGTGAAAATCTGCAACACAATACTCTTTGGTGTTTGAAAATGGAGATGTATTAATACTTTAGTGACTCATTCTACCCTTACCCATTTTCAGTCTTTAACTACCCAAAAAGTTTAAAAGGAAAATTATTCAGGTATTTTGACTTAAATAAAAATAGTTTCTGGGGAAAACCAGATGAATTGTACAAGAGACCTCTCTACGATCTTCACAACTTCCTGTGAACCTATAAAAAGTTTTAAATATAGCTGTCTTCTTAATAATGTAGGAGTAATGAGTGCCAAAATTTTGAGGAAGGAGAATACTTGGGCTTAACAGTTATTTTGTGTCAAGGCAAGAGAAAACCACTATGAAAAAGAATCCTCAGCTTCAAAATGTGACTACTATTAGAAAGTAGAACATTTTGTATTTTTTGGGTTCCACTTTAGATATATGAATTTATTGATGATTCTAGCTTTGACTAAATGAAAACTTTACTTGTCTACTGATAAGCTTTTACAAAATTAGGCTATTTGCTCAAGATTTCTGGCATTACCAATCAATCCTATACATAAATATGCATCACTTCTGGGAGTGAAGCTCATTACCATCATCCAAATTCCCTTTCCAAAGGAATACCTCAAACAAAACTAAAAATGTTACCAACTACTCAGTTTTTTAAAAAGCCAGACATATTGACAATTCCTTATTCTGAAAGTGTTTTTAAATGCTGATATATAGTGTTAATCAGCTTTAACTTCATGGCAACCTCAAGAAACTCATCTCTGACCTAGGGTTATATTCTTTTCCTTCCTGTTTATAACAGTTTAATAGTTTAACAGCATTAAACTATAGTATTTAATAGCTTACAAGAGTTTAATAGTATTATTCACAACAGCCAAAAAGACAGAAATAGCCCAAGTACCCAGT